CTGTACATATTGAAAAAATTGTCAATAGTCGTAATGACGATTTGCTGACTCTTATCACGTTTACGGCACGAAGCCAAGGCGACGAAGGTTTAGAAATCACGCACCTTCTTACCCAATCTGTGAGCTAAGTCACCGAGATATTCCCATTCTCCTGGGGAATGTTTATATGCCAGTGAATATGACTTCGCATGTGCTTCTTCTGACTTCCAAGTCGTGTAAACACGAAGATCCTGGCAGTTCGATAAATGATGATTGAGATAGGGAGTGTAGAAACAGCGTATTGTAATTAGACATTGACGCAGTATTCCGGCTTTCATCAAGACAAAGACGCAAACCTCGTAAAGAATCAAGAATAAATCATCCAGCCACCGTTCGCATAGCCGTTTGTGACTGAAAGCCGATAACAACTTGGATTTAGATTGATGATGACTCTGTTGCGCTGGCTTCGACTTAATGTTGGATGGCACCTTGGTTTTCGAAGGTGAAGTTAGTGGAGATGTGGCGGCTGAGTCAGGATTGGTAGCGGAATTTGGGTCAGAAGGGTGCTGTGACAAGTTGAACATATGTAGGTTGTGAGTAGACGATGAGAAACGGCAGTGTAACGTTGACACGAAATCAAGACTTTTACCTCACTGCCGACGCCGCTTCCGTTTTCGTTCTCTTTCTCTTCCCCAGCTGCATTACCATTTCCGCTTCCATTTACATCAGCATTGTCGGTCAACATCTCTTCACTCTTTTTCACCTGTCTATACTCATCCTCCATAACGAAAACTTTTGCCCTATGTTGCAGCAATTCTTCCCATCCGGCTTTATTTACCATGGCGGCCAACAAATCGTAAGCCCTTTTAAACGTAGAATCAGGGCGGAGAGTTGACGAACGAAGTGGCGTAATTGTCGCCTGGAATTATAATTGAAGTTGCACCAAATTAGTGGGTCATGTCAAACCCTTCCACAAAGTTAGTTTCGTGGGGAAAATAACTTACAGCGTCATTTTCTACATATTTCATTCTATCGTTGTCACTGTAATACGGGAAATGAGATCTAGCGGGAACAGGCATAACATGTGCATCCTTGTATGGTGAGTTAAACATGGGACAGGAGTTTAACGTGAGGAGGGCCTATCATTTCGGATGACAATAAGAGTGCCGACAAAATAAGAATTCAAAGATTAAGCACAGTATAAAACTACCGAAGATGAAATCGAACATACCATTTCCCAGTCACCTGAATCCATATAACATTCCGTCAGCTTAGCCCAACTTCGAAACTCAAGGGGTGATGTATTAACTACACGTTTGGCAAGTTCAAGTGCTAAATTCTTCTTGTTCTGTAAACCGGTGAATGTTTTTTAGTTATTGATAATGCTATAGAAGAATACAGTGAACGGACGTACGTTTTGCCTTAAGAAGTCGATCTGACAGAGCAACACGCTGGTGTTCATTGGGTGGTTTTGTAAAGCGGAGTACATGGTTTGAACTGCTTTTGAATCGTGGCCTTGTTTCATGAATGCGTTAAACTTTATTAGTAGGAGTATTCTAGGTAAGAAATCATTTCAGATTAAATGAGATGTACCTAGCCCGATATACGCTTGAGCAAGAAGCGCGGAAACCTCGATATCCTTTTCTGACAGTAAAAATTCAAGCGAAAGTTACGGACATAAAGTTCGATCACACAAAAAAGACAGAGCTACAATAGAAATATCTTTAAAGGATATATTTTTGACAAATCTTGACAAGGACATCCCATCGTCCCGTATCCTCGCCAAAGTATTTTATCAACCCTGTTACCAACAGGTTATTCGCTACCGATGGAACCTGAACATCTCTGTCCGCTCCAAGCTGAACACCATCTTGAAACACATCGACAACTGCGTCGATGAATTTGTTTTCGATCGTCACATTCGGTATTGGGTCTTCTCGCTTCAACCCGACAGGAGAAGGCGGGAACTCAGCATCATTCAAGATGGCTCTCAATACAGCGGAGACAAACAATTCGTTCCAGAACGAGGGAGTCACATTTGCAATATCAATTCTTTTCCCGGCTCGATTGACTGCGTAGCAATCTACTCCTCCAGGGAACCTGCATTCAACTCGGACGTCGACTTTAGAAATGGCATTGTAACAACAATAGCTTCCTGACTTTATTTTGTAAGCCCCGCTGTTAGAAAACCATCCCTTTGGATTGTCGATTGAGTAAGTGAGAGTATTGATATATGCTGCCAATGAGCCCGGTGAAGAAGCGTCGATGCCGGAAACGTAGTGGTACGAAGTTACGTCCTTTACTGGAGGCTTCGTCGTTGTTTTAACGATATGGCAGAGGTCTGGAGGTCCTAAACTGTTAACGAGCGACGTTATATTAGATAAAACAGTCTCTAATGTAAATAAGGTCAAGGATAGATGGCAATGGCAATTACCGAAACGAGGGAAGAGATTCTGTCCTCGACACTAACGATTCTCCGAGGACGGTTTCGAAGAGTTCTGAGTGCAAAGGGAAATAGACGATTGAGTGAATGAAATTAATAAGAGTCATGAGCCGAGAAGACATACCAGGGACATCTTTGAGACAGTCGACCATGATTGTGGAATATGCAAAAGAATGTTGATAAATTAAAAGTGAGGTGGAACAAGATTGGGAATAACAAGACGAGTTCAAAAGTTCCGAAGTTCGTTCCTTCCCGTATCCTTCTCAATTCTCTTCTTCAAATCGGACAAGACTATGGTATTTGCTCTGAATTCCTTATTCCATGCAACTGATCATATTCTCACAATCTTATAATATGGTCTTTATTCTAGTTGCGCAAAGATTCGAATTATTCACGCATCCTGCACGTCGCGAAAACTCATCATGTTGATCTGATAGATGAAGACTGGGCTAATGATGTCTTGGAATGCGATGGTATCGATGATTCATTTGTTATTACAGGAAGAAACTGTTTTATTTCGACTAAGCCATACTAATCATTTCTATCTATACTCGTTTGCTTCTCCGATCTAGACCTTTTCATTCCAGAAAGGGAGCCCGAGTTTCTCGTGGACGAAAAGAATCTTTGTAAGTAATATGCCTATTATCATTCTCTCACCTGAGCAATCTCCTCTTACATGTTATGATTTACGTCGGACTTTCTCAAATACAAAAGTAAATCCAAAGTACAATAAACATCTCCAACCGGCCAAGTGGAACGATTTTGAGTTGGACAAAATAATAAAGCCGATTGTGAAGATGGAAGAACAAGTTGTTTCAAATGGACAAGGAGGTCAAAATCCTTAATTGACAACTTTCATTGACCATACATGCGAATGTGAGTCAGGACATGTAGAGTTGTTGTACATATGGGCCCAAGTTTATGCTGTATTTCCACCAAACCAGATATCTGATAATTAAGGAAGAGTGTGTACAAAGTTGACAATTAATATGTAAAGAATAAAATAAAAGTAATTGTCTGACGAAATGGCCAACTAATGAAATGATTAATGGAGGAACTCGAAATGTCAGGCTCTTCGCTGTCCACGTGACGAGGAAAAAACTGGTTCCCTTTTTTTTGGCATCCGCTCGCCGTGTAGTTCTCTCTCTTCGCAAGCGTCGGAATAATCGATTTGCACATAGCTAATATTCATCATGGTATGTATTCATCGATTAGACTCTCTAATGCAAATTCTATATGTTTGTATCAGTCGATGCCAGATTCTAACGGATGGATGGATATTTCTACTTCAATTTTTTGCTTCGACTTTGAACGGCGCTCTGATCGGTGTTTACTTTCTGCATATCACATTCGCTTCAATCATTAATTCATGTGTGACGATTTCGAACGACCGTTTAATGCGAAAATAGCCTCCTAAAGCCAAGAAAGAAAAGAAAGAAGAACCCGTCCAACTTGGACCCACTGTTCGTGAAGGAGAACTCGTCTTCGGTGTTGCTCACATTTTCGCTTCTTTCAACGATACCTTCGTCCACGTTACCGATTTGTCTGGACGGGAAACTATCTCAAGAGTCACTGGTATGTAAAATTGTGGAATGCAGCCAAAGTCGCTTTGACGATTGACGAATTGGAGGGAACTCGGAGATTGGCAAAAGGAACGCTAGGCTGTTGCAAACCGGCTTATAATAACTCTATGCGATCTTTAATGAAACCGATCAGTGCGAATGTTGATTTGCTACGGTGCTTTTATATACTGCTTCTAGTTTTCCTGAGGGCCACACCATGTCAAATATGCACCTGTCCGTTATGTTGCCGCTGCCAATCTCCGTTTGACCTACATTTATCATCAGTCAAAATGGACTAGTGGTGAAACACTTACTCCTTGACTGCATTTTTTCTAACATTGTCTGTTTGCAATTTTGTATAGGTGGTATGAAAGTTAAAGCTGATCGTGACGAATCGTCTCCGTACGCTGCTATGTTGGCTGCCCAAGATGTTGCCGCCAAGTGCAAGGAACTCAACATTAACGCCCTTCACATCAAATTGAGAGCTACTGGTGGTAACGGCACCAAGACACCCGGACCTGGAGCTCAATCTGCATTGAGAGCTTTGGCTAGAGCTGGAATGAGAATCGGAAGAATTGGTACTTGTCTTTTACACCTTGCTACTCATCTATTTCTGCGACATTCTAACGAATTATTTCTCTATATGTTCATTCAACAGAGGATGTTACCCCCGTCCCAAGTGACAGCACCAGACGAAAGGGTGGTAGACGTGGTCGTCGTTTGTAGATTTACTTTGTGTTCTCTTATTCCATGTGTAATAAAGGCATTATTAAGGCTTCAGTCATAATAAACTTGGAGAATTGAGCATATTCATAATAATGTACATTTATGAACTTTTAGTCCAAAATCCTTCAATCCATCACATGGAGGTAGCGGACTGAAGATTCCGGTCGGTGGGGTCCATTCAAGTCGATGAGGAAACCAATAACTATGATATTTTGGAGTTTTGTTGCGTTCTGTTCCATTTTTAATGTGCACACGGAATATTTAACATATAAAGTCTTATAATACTAACTGCCTTCGTAGATCAATTGGATAGATCGTCAGACTTCTAATCTGAAGGTTGCGAGTTCGACCCTCGCCGAAGGTGTTTTTGGAAAAGTTGCATTCAAAAGGTTTTGGCGATCTTTTTCCCTTTGTGCTTGACTTCGGTAATCTTAGATATTAAATTTCATTTTACTCCCACATGAAAATGCAATTTTTCCTTTCTAGCACTATTAGTTATCATGTAATGTTTGAATATGGACCTCAGTTCAGGTGTGGCCACGAAAGCCAAGGCGATGTGCAAGGTATCATGGGGTGATGGGTTTGTAACTTTTCAAAGGAGATAAGTAATTCCATATAGATACAGAGAGCATTCACTCTGTGTAGGTATCTGGAAGCAGAAGAGAGCACGCAGGGGACAGCGTGACGGATGACGGTTCCCTTTCTCCAGATTCACACGCAGTTGACTGTTCCTCTCGTTGCCTGCATCGTCGTACCATTCATCCATCTGATCAGTCTCGCAGAGTAGCAGTTAACAGTAGTACGCATCAACACATATGTACATAAAACAGGTATACACTCCATTCCCTGCCAACACTCGTCAGTCCCTTTATCACGTCCCAAACTGACGCCAACTTCCAACTAGATCATCATCCAGGGCTTCAAGTCCTACAAGGACCAAACCATCATGGAGCCCTTCAGTCCAAGGCACAACGTTATTGGTGGGTACTTTTACAGCCTAAATCTTCCCTCGTCCATCTCTAGCAAACCACTGGCGCAGTCACTGATATCGGCTCCTTTTTGTTTGGCGGCTTGAATGCGTTTGTTTTGAATGTTCTTAGTCGGTAGAAATGGATCAGGAAAAAGCAATTTCTTTTGGGGTACGTTGCCTGTTTGTTTGAATTAGCTCGCTTCAACCCTTAACATATGTTGTGCCATTTATCATTATTCAGCTATTCGATTCGTGTTGCACGATGCATTCACGAACATGAGTCGAGAAGAAAGGCAATCACTTCTCCATGTATACTTATTCTCATAAATCATTGAGTAGTATGATACCGTGAAGTTTACAGAAATTTTATATCGGTTCTTAGGAAGGATCAGGTCCTGCCACCATGTCGGCCTTCGTTGAAGTCATATTCGACAATGGGGATAATCGATTTCCGGTCCGTCTGAATTTCTTCTTTCACTTTTCCTGTTATAACATATCTAATATCTGAACGTTTCCTCAGACCGGTAAAGATGAGGTTATTTTACGAAGAACTATCGGTTTGAAAAAGGACGAGTATTCTCTAGACCGAAGCAGAGTGACGTACGTTTCTCTAATCTTTGATCATATATGACCCTTAATACCATGTCTATAACACTTCTACATAACTATTTCCATAGCACAAAGGAGGTTATGCAGTTACTGGAATCGGCTGGATTTTCTAGCTCCAATCCTTATTATATTGTCCCTCAAGGAAGGGTGCGTAATCCACCCAATTTGACGTGAGCACGTCCACAGTAATCTGATTTTTTTCGATAATAGATAACAGCTCTCTGTAATGCCAAAGATCACGAGCGCCTTACTCTTCTCAAAGAGGTAGCCGGTACCAGTGTCTACGAAACTCGCCGGCGAGAATCCCAACAATTATTGGAGGATACAAATATCACTAAGCGCGCCAAAATTGAAGAATCACTGCAATTCTTTGAAGAGAAGCTTGCTGAACTTGAAGAAGAAAAGGAAGAGCTGAAAGCTTATAGTGAGTTAGATAAAGAGAGACGTTGCTTAGAATATACAATTTATGAACGAGAATTGAATGAAGTGAGTGGTGAACTTGAAAATTTGGAAGAACAAAGGAGAGCGGAATTGGGAGAAAGTAATAAGAAACGTAGCGATTATGGGGATTTAGAAAAGCTTATTGCGGTATGTCATCCGTGATATCCTTTTGGACACAGCACTTCTCATTGGTTTATCCTTTACTTTTTTGGTATACAGGATCAAGAACGACAGTTGAATGAACTGCGACAGAGCCTTGAAGAACTTAGGCTTGAAAAAGAGCAATTATCGGACGAAAAAACCGAGCAGAACAAAGCTATTATTCAAGCTGAAATCTTGCTCAAAGAAAAGCAGGACACCAGCAATGATACATCTGAGCGTAAAGTGCGTTCCTCGTCATTACTGAACGCTTTGTTATGCAAGTAATAACAAAACTTCATTTTAGAAAACACTCGAAGTAGAAATGAAGGCTCTTTCAAAAGAAATCCGAGCAAAGGAGGACGAACTCGCTCAAGTTATTCCGGAGTTCGAAAAGCATAGTGCAACCGAAAAGAAGCTCAAAGGACGCTTTGATGAAGCAGAGAGGTTACGATCATCCCTCTATTCTAAGCAGGGTCGTGCTGCTCAATTCAAAAATCGCCAAGCAAGAGATAAATGGTTGAAAACTGAAATTGAAAAGATCAAAGATACTAAGAAAACTCAGGGAGAACAGGTTTGTACTTCAATATTTCATTTATTGGAGTCATGTATCATCTAATCGCATTGCAATCAGGCGAAAGCACTCAAATTATCCATTGAATCGACTTCTACTCAACTTACCACTGTTACTGAAGAGATATCATCAATTCGTAACCAAATGGATTCTCGCAAAGACGACACTGAAACTATTGCCACTGATTTCAGAGATGTCAAACAGAAAAGAAACGAAGCAATGGATAAGAGAAAGCAGCTCTGGAAGGAACAGGACAAGCTGTCGAGCAGCATCGGGATTTTGAAGGACGAAATAAAGAAAAATGAAGATGGGTTAGTCGGAAGCATGGATAAGGTACGTTCCCTCCTCTTGGCTGATTGAAAATACTGGCGCAAGGTTGATCAGGTATTTAATCTAGGCCACCGCTCAAGGTTTACGAGCCGTCAAAAACATTGCCGAAAGACTCAATTTACAAGGTTATTTCGGGCCACTTTATGAGTTGTTTGAAGTCGAAGACAAATATCGTACTGCTGTTGACGAGATTGTCGGGTCAAGGTAAGCCACATATATCTTGATCTTATTTGCACTGGTTCTGATCGGTTCCTTCGTCAAGTCTTTTCCACATTGTCGTTGACAACGACGCAACAGCAACAACTCTCCTCACGCACTTGAATCGTGAACGATCGGGTCGAGTTACATTTATGCCACTCAATCGCCTCCGACCTAAACCTATGCAATATCCAAATGCTAATGATGCAATCCCTCTGGTCAAAAAGATCAAAGGTGACGATAAATTCAGACTTGCTTTTGAGCAAGTTTGGGGGAAAGCAGTAGTGTGTCCAAACTTGGAAGTCGCAGCCGGATATTCCAGAGGTGGCGAGCTGACCGCAGTTACTCTTGACGGTTTGTACTTCTCTTCTCCACTTCTCTGAGTCGGACTTGTTCTTACCTTCTTCTCCATACTAGGTGACCGTGTTGATCGCAAAGGTGCAATTTCCGGCGGTTACCGCGATCATCGTAAATCAAGATTGGAAATTCTCAAATCAATTAAAACATGGAAATCCAAACTTCAGACAGAAGAAAAACGTCTTGCCGAAGTAAAAGAACAAGTAGTCGCCATTGAACAACTTGTTACGAAATATATGGGCGATTTACAACGGCTAGAAATGAAGAAGACATCATTAGTGGATTCTCGAGAACCCTTGATTGCAGAGTTAAACTCTAAATTGCGCGAGGAAGTGCAACTTAAGGACGCATTGAGGCATAAGGTTTGACATCGTTGTCTTGTCAATTTTAGTTGTATTTCATTTAATAACTCGGAACTGTCAATTCTTTAGGAATCTTCATTAGAGTCGCTGTTGGCAGCAATCAAAACATTCGAAAGTCAGCAGAAAGAGTATGAAGCAGAAATGAAGACTGAAATGACATCAGGTCTAACAGCTGACGAGACCAATCAATTGGAATCCCTCACGACCGAAATTGAACAGATTAAAGAGCAGCTAGTAGAAACTGCCGGCGTCCGAGCTAAAGTTTGTATTGCCTGCATTTTCTCTATTTTATTGCTGGTTGACTGATTTTTAATTCTTTTCATAGCTTCAATCGACGAAAGCTATACTCGAGTCCACTCTTAACAATAATCTCCTTCGACGACGTATTGAACTTGAATCTGAACTCGATAACTTATCTATTACTGCTGCAAGTGCCAACGTCACAGAAGTGAGCGAAGAAGATTTGCCAAAATTGTATAAAACTGTGGAAAGATTAGAGGAACGATTGAAAAAGATTGAAAATGACATGGAAGAACTGAAGGCTCAGGAAACCGAATCGCTTGCTGTATTAGAAAGACAAAAAGTCAGTTTTACTTTAACTCCTTTTGAACCGTTTCAAAACATCCGCTAAGTTTATGCACTTGTTGTTAGACCGAACAAGCCCAACATTCCAAATCCCTTGAACAACAGCAAACGTTCTTAGAGAAGTTTCTCACGAAAAGGTCGGTTCTGATGGCGAAGAAGGACGAGTGTACCAAAAATATCAGGGAACTGGGTGTTCTTCCCGAAGAAGCGTTTGAGAAATACAAAGAAATCAACGGTAAAAAGGTTAGTGTTAATTTGTCAAGCAATGTAAAACGCTATACACTTCTGGCTAACGAAGAACGGTGCATCTTCTCATTTGGATAGCTCATGAAACGATTACACAAAGTGAAAGAAGAATTGAAGAAATACGGACATGTAAACAAGAAAGCGATAGAACAATACAATAATTTTATGAAACAACATGAAGTGTTACAACAGCAAAAACAAGAATTGGATAAATCTGCTGAGGTATTTTCCATGCTCTATTTGTCAGAAAAGATAATTTGTATTCACGGCTGTTTGTCGCGGTAGGCCATTCAAAACCTCATCAAAGTATTGGATCATCAAAAAGATGAAGCTATCGAACGAACCTTCAAACAAGTTGCTAGAAACTTTGAAGAAGTGTTTGAGAGGTTGGTACCCGCTGGTCGCGGAAAACTGTTGATGTTGAGGAGAAAAGGATTGGTTCGTTACTCTTTCGTATGTTTTGGTTTGTAGAGAGAAATCGCTCAACCATGCTTGACTTGATTAGGATCCCGAGCAAGAGGGCGAAGATGAAGCCAACGAAGATGAAACAGGAA